GCACTAAAACATTGTCGGCAACAAGGGGTAATCTAAGACCCCAAACATAAATTGTTTTTTGGATGCATAATTTTATTCAAATACGACCAAACTACATCTTCATATTTAGCAACTGAATAATAATCAATCAAAGTAAAAAAAAAAATTTAATGTATTAACAGTGAAGATATGAATTATAAGGCATTATCAAAACCATAAAAATCTGCAAGAAACTTATTTGTCATTTCCATGTAGAATTGTCTTTTGATGGGGTTGGTAGAGTACCTAGATTTTTTTTCAGATCTAGATTACTAGAATGACCAACACAATATCATCAGTAAAAAAGATTCCAAATACAAAGCTAGCATTGAGCGCAGAACAGATTAGACACTTGTAACCAGCAAAATGTTTAAAGGAAAGGAGAGAGGGAGGGAGGGGGGTGGGCCACAAGACCCCTTGTTTCTGATAATGTAATACTCTTAGTTTCTTGTCAAATCGTTAATATTGCCACTGCCTCACTTCCGTTCTATTTGCAGCATTATACTCGACATTTAATGTAGATGTATAAAATTCTCGCTAGGCAAATATGAACCAGTTCGTCACAAGGTTTAATTTAGATACAAACATTATATAATGACATTAACTGTGCAAAATGAATAAAGGATATACCACTCCTTGTTTTAAAATGCCCAGGAGTCTACATCAAGGTGACCTTATAGCAGCACAAATCTTTTTAAACTGGTTACTGAAATTCTGTGTATTTATATTAAAATTGACATTAATATAGAGGGAATTATCTTCAGACAGCAACCGTTAAAATTAAAAGCCTTTGCAGACAACATGACAGTTTTACTGACTGATTTTAAATCAGATAGCACACATTTTTGAAGCATTAAAAGAATTTAGTAATGTATTCTGCTAGAAATGAACGCTAGAAGTGAAGCATTTGATTTTAACAGGGGGGATGCAGATCTTCGCAATAATATTAAAAGTTTAGGTCTTATTTATTGTGGGAATTTTATTAAAATATTATTAGGCATTAGTTATTCCTTTTATCAAAATTTCTGAAAAAATTAACTTTGAGAACTCCATAAACCAAATTAAAGATACCTTGAACACCTGGAAAAAATGAAATAGTTCCTTGAACATCTGGAAAAAAAAAATAGTTCTTTGAACACCTGGAAAAGACGAAATAGTTCCTTGTACACCTGGAAATTTCCTTGAACGCCTGGAAAAGGCGAAATAATTTAAATAGGGAAAATCCCTATAAGAAAAACATTCTGCGTATCTGAAATATTATATTCTGCATCAGTTAAAATCCTCCGTACGTTGAAGACTGGGAGGTTCTGGCTGGGTGACCAAGATTATATCAAAACCTCAAAAATTGATATGTTGACAAGCCCTGAAAATCAAGTCAACTGGACCAATAAACACATAAAGATTAATGAAATGAATTGAAATGGGGATTAACGCGTCCTACTGTTTTGCTCCGAACTGGGTTAATGAAGACGGGCATACGCCATATAGTGTGCTATGAGGGAAATTTTGCCCAGATAGCGGCACAACGGCCTACTCTTATATCGAATTCCAACTGTCAAGGGATCTTTTACGTGCACGCCAATGTTTACACAGGAACTCGTTTTTCGTCCCATCTGAACGACTAGACAGCTGCTCTTGTCAGGCCCTCCATCCTGCAACACTAACAAGGGGGAAGCACGCTGGAAAATCTGTATGAACTTTCTCGGCCAATGCAGGGATCGAACACCCGACCTCCAGACTAGCGAGCCAGCTTCTTACCCACTTAGCCACCGTGGCCCCCACATAAAGATCAATAAACAAACTAGATGTAGATAAAGAACCGATTAACGGTAATGATAAGGTTTTATTGTTTGCTGACTGCAAAGAAAGAAAATGTTTTAATGGGAGATTAAATAAAGAGCTGGTAGTTCTCACCATAATAGTTCAAAACTAGATAATGTAAAGGGAATTTGCTGAAAATTGCAATCAAATTGATCCACCCTGAACCAAGTATTTAGCTATTGAATTTCGGGCCTAGCCTTGATCATCATTACAAAAGTTGGTACGATAAAAAAACATAGTCTCGGTTATCCATTTCTTGATTTAATTAGAAGCAGGAGACAGGTTATAATCCACTAAAAATCGCAAGCTAGCGATGCCATCGAGAGTTGATTATGGTCTGGGTAACTTAATTCATATCTAATTAATGATTTAGTTAACATTTTAGGCCAAATAGGTAGATTTAGCTTTTGCATAATGTATGTTTAATAGAATAATGAATAGTAATAAAGCAGTAAAACTGAAAAGTGTTTGCTTAGCAGTTAAAGATTTCTTGGAATACAGTCAACAACGAGGCTACACCCATAATTATACCACCCTAAAAATGTTTCTAACAATATTAATATGTATATAAAAAAAAACAACAACAATGAATCAGATTAAAGCAAAGAACAGTAATTCAGTACGAGTAAACCAGTGATGGGATTTCAAAATTTATCTTGTCGGACATTTTACGAAAATAAAGGGACATAACTCTTAGCGTTATTTAAGCAGACGGATTCATATCACAATTAAAAATCACGAGTCAACAAAATATTAAAATCCCGTTCATAATAAGAATAGGTGAACCTCGCTATTTTTAATATTTAATTCCCGTACGGTATTCAAATTTATGTCAGAAACAATCGTACATAGTAAATCATTTTCGTAATACATTGAATGAAAGCTTGTCGATCCTGCTTCAGTTTATCAGTAAACTAATATCAATAAATAAATAGGGAAAAAGAGAATAATTTTATTTTAGATGAAATGAAAAATCTCACACATCTTCAATTTGATAAAATTAGCAGTAACACTAGATTACAGTATTTGCAATTTAAATATATACATCAAATTATCTATGCAAATGACTTATTGTCCAAAATCAAATTAAAAATATCGTTGCTGTGCAGTTTTTGTTCTTCGTTATTATTGAAACCGCGGGGCATGTCTTGATATACTGCAATTACTCGCTAGTAAAATGGAATTAATTTTATCATCTAATGATATCTCAATGGTTTCTTATTTAGTTAATTTTTACTTCAATATGCTTACATTCATATTTATTGTAACATATTATAGCAGATCATGACTCATGCTGGTTTTACATTGGGTTATATACTGAGGGCCATGGAAAACTCATCACTTTTTTTCCCAAATATTTTATTACTAGGTGGTTTTGTATGTATAATATTATGCAATACTATAACTATTGTTTCACACAATGCTCCTAAACGCAAAAAATATCGACCTGTGTGCACAAAAAAAAATTGCACGAGATGCATATGAAAAACCGAATATTCACGTACAGCATTGTGTGTGAGCCCTTTAAAATCATGTTTCTAAGTTAATGTGCAGTACATTAACTGTGAAACGTCAATCTGTCGTAATTTGTTGTTGGACGTGTGAAGGAATCGAGCTAGAGATGCCAAAACTTACTGAAAATCAACGGAATGAAGCCATGGGAATGTCCAGGGCTGGCATGTCTACACGTGCTATTGCCAGACACTTCACTTGTCACCAGTCCACTATTGTAAGGTTGGTGGAACGTGTTCGAGTTACGGGATCAACACGTGACCGTCAACATCCTGGTCCACAACGCGTTACAACCCAGGATCAAGATCGCTACATCCGGGTCACTCATCTGCGTGACAGATTCCGCCCAGCGACTCAAACAGGTGCAGCAGTCGTTGGAAGACAAGGACCAGTAAGTCCCAACACCGTAAGATGTCGTCTAAGAGAAGTAGGACTCCGTGCACGACAACTTTATGTTGGAGCTATCCTCAGGGATCATCACCGTCAGCGGCGTTTGATATGGGCTCAAGGACACCGGACATGAAGAAAAGTAGACTGGCAAAGTGTGCTCTTCAGTGATGAGAGTCGCTTTCATCTTTATTACGCTGATGGCCGTCAACGTGTGTGGAGACGTCTTGGGGAACGTCTTGCAGACTGCTGCGTCTTCAAAACGAATCGATGGGGTGGGGGAAGTGTAATGGTGTGGGGAGGCTTCATATTTCAACACCGGACCGCCCTACACATTTGCATTGGTCACGTTAGAGCTGTACCCTACCGTGATGATGTTTTGCAACCAACAGCTGTTCCGATGTTTCAAGCGCACCCACAACTTCAGCACTTCCAACAGGATAATGCAGGTCCGCATACCGCCCGTTTAAGTATGGACTACCTGGCTGCTAACAACATCAGTGTCTTGGACTGGCCAGCCATGAATCCGGACATGGCACCGATAGAACATGTCTGGGATGAGATTGGACGCCGTCTGTATCGGAGACCACAGATGCACACCATTGCTGCTTTAGAAGCTGCTCTTGTCCAAAAATGGAACAATTTGCCTCAGGCCTTCTTTCAAACATTGGTAAATTCCATGCGACGTCGCTGCACAGCGTGCGTAAGAGCCCGTGGAGGACACACGCGCTACTGACATCTGTGTCATACTTTTGGTTTTGACCCCTCTGACTTTGTACCGTTGATTACAGATTAAACATCCATAAGTGTACAAATGTGTTGTTATTGATGTGTTCCCATTTGAATATTGTTCACAATAAGAAACAAAATAAATAAGATATGTTTACAGGATCATTTTGTTATACGAAAAACTAAGTGATGCGTTTTCCATGGCGCTCAGTATATTCCTGATTGTTTTCAAATTTGAGTGAAGTTTTTATCACTACAGGCTCAGGCATACAGTGCAGTGGACGCTTAAGGCTAGCCCCCGGATCCATTCACTTAATTTGAATTGTTTGTTTGTTTGAGCTTTCTGCGTATTGTGTCATGTCCATATGTTTGTTTTTGTGTAAATTATATTTGTGGTGCAGTCCCCCTGCACTTAATATTAAACCAACAGTTTTGGATTGTTTTGTTCATCTTAGATTAGTGCAATTAAAAATTATAAATGTTCATATCATTCTATTTCAATATTTATAGAAATTCACAATTGTATATTTCAGGTTTTTTTCATCGTGTCATATATTGACAGATACTTTCTCTCCTGTGGAAAGAGTTCGATTTGACGCTCGAATTAAAAAATGTCACACAGAAAATCAGAAAGGTTTGTTTTCGCATGTACTGTAGTGCCGTAGTAATAGCATAGTTTTTAACAGCCACTTCGACCTTGAGTGATATGGGATTTTAAATTTTACAAGGTAGATGACCAACATTTAAAAACATTTATATTCACCACACATTATTTTGTCCAAATAATTCAATTTTTGCGAATAAATTAATTTCTATTTTTATTGTGAATATGAAATGAAATGGGGTTTAATGTCCTACTGTTCTGCCCCTACCGGGCTAATGAAGATGGGCATACGCCATACAGTGTGCTATGAAATTCCAACTGCCAATTGATCTTTTAGTTGCACCCCATGGGACCTTGGTTTTTCATCCCATCTGAATGACTAGACAGCTGACAAGGGAAACCACGCCGGAAAATCATGATGAAATTTTTTGACCAACACCGGGATCGAACATTTGACTTCCAGGCTACCAAGCGTCTTACTCACTTAGCCACCCTGGCTCCTTATTGTGAATATCAAAAGATGGAACAAGATGTTCCATAATTGTATACTCTACAAGTTGGGTAAAGTCAAGTTGTTTTATTTTAGCAAGAGGTTTAGCCAATCTTAATTAACCCAGTTGGTGTAGAAAAGTAGGATTTTAAACCCAGTTCATTCATTCATTCTGTTGCAATTTCTTTGATAATGATTGGCTGAATTCTTAAAAATCTAAAACTTCTATTTTTTCAGATGATCTGCAATGTACGTCGAAAATAGATCTTTATATACTGGTATTTGTTGTATATTTCAGATGATCTGTGGTGTGAAATAGATCTATATATACCGGTATTTGTTGTATATTTCAGATGATCTGTGGTGTGAAATAGATCTATATACCGGTATTTGTTGTATATTTCAGATGATCTGTGGTGTGAAATAGATCTTTATATACCGGTATTTGTTGTATATTTCAGATGATCTGTGGTGTGAAATAGATCTTTATATACCGGTATTTGTTGTATATTTCAGATGATCTGTGGTGTGAAATAGATCTTTATATACCAGTATTTGTTTTATATTTCAGATGACCTGCTGTGTAAAATAGATCTATATATACGGGTATTTGTTGTATATTTCAGATGATCTGCGATGTACGTTGAAAATAGATCTTTATTTATTTGTTTTATATTTATATATACAACAGTTATATAAAGTGTCATTGCGGGCATCTTTAGTCGCTGGTGATGAATATCCTTTTCATAATTTTACATAGTTACAAATCTTTAACTCAATTTTTTCTGTCTCTCATCTTGGTTCTGTCAAGAATTTGATCCTGTGGGGAGCCACGGTGGCTAAGAGAGTAAGATGCTCGCTCGCTAGCCTGGAGGTCACTTGTTCGATCCCTGCATTGGCCGAGAAAGTTCATCGGGATGGTCTGGCATGATTTCTCCTTGTTAGTGGTGCAATACAGAAGGAACAAAAAACTGAGGACCTGTGTATGCATTGGCATGCTCGTGAAAGATCCCCTGGCAGCTGGAATTCGATATAAGAGTAGGCGATAGTGCCGCAGTCCGGGCAAAATTTCCCTCATAGCACATTGTATGGCGTATACCTGCCTTCATTAGCCCAGTCGGCATCTATGGCATGGATTGGGGGTATGTGTGTGGAACTTTTCACCACAAGAGTGCCACAAGATATTGGCTTTCTGAAAAATAATACATAACACACGATTTTCAACTTAGAATAATTCTGATAGAGTGTTTTGGGGTCTGTGGTGTTTTTCACCACAAAAGTTCCTCAAAATAAAATCATTTTTTCAAAAAATTATTCATATACCTCCATACGTGCCTGTGATTGTGACCTCAAAAACATTTATTTACATAACAAGCCTATAATCAATCAACTCTCTAGCCCATCGGAGGGCCGAGATTTAAATGGATTTAAACACAGGAGAGATTTAAAGATTTAGCAATGAAATGGATAATTGAGGCTAAGTCTTGGTTGTCAAGTGCAGCTGCTATAATAATAAACAATATGCTACATCTTCAAACAGTGACAACTTCGCCTAGAATAAAGTAATTTGAATGAAATTTTCAATATATTCATTATACATTATTTATTTTCGAACTATTATAGCAAGAATGGTCAGATATTTATCTAAACCTTACATAATGTATCTTATGTATCTTAGCATGTTTTTTATACGCCCACATTTTCATGTGTACGTATTATGCCGTCGCCCCTGTCCGTCCGTCCGTCCACAATTGTTTGTGGACTCTCTACAGGTCACAATTCTTATCCGATTTTGACGAAACTTGAAATATAGGTTTATCCCCAAAAGATCTCGGCTGCTTTCAATATTGGCATGTATCGGATCGAAACTTCATGGATTATGGCCCCTGATTGTACGAAAAATCACGTTTTTAGCTTGTGGACCCTATAGAGGTCACAATTTTTATCCGATTTATTTGAAACTTGAAATGTAAGTTTATAACCTAAAGATCTCGGTTCCTTTCGATATTCTGGCATATCGGACCGTAACTTTCTGAATTATGGCCCCTGATTGTACGAAAAATCGCGTATGGAGGTCACAATTTTAATCCGATTTTGTTGAAACTTGAAATGTAAGTTTATAACCCAAAGATCTTGGTTCCTTTCGATATTTGCGCATATAAGACCGTAACTTCTTGAATTATGGCCCCTGTTTGTACGAGGTCACAATTTTAATCCGATTTTATTGAAACTTGAAATGTAAGTTTATAACCCAAAGATCTTGGTTCCTTTCGATATTCGCGCCTATCGGACCGTAACTTCCTGAATTATGGCCCCTGATTGTATGAAAAATTGCGTTTTTAGCTTGTGGACCCTATAGAGGTCATAATTTTTATCCGATTTAAAAAACCGTATTATTATATCACCGTTACACCCTAAGGACGACTGAGTTCGAATTTCGTGAAAATCGGCCCAAAACGGACAGATAAAATGGCCACCCTTCGTTCTCAAATAGCATAAAAATGGGGTATATCAAAGTTGTGGACCCTATAGAAGTCACAATTTTTATCTGATTTTGTTGAAACTTGAAATATAAGTTTATAACACAAAGGTCTCGGTTCCTTTCGATATTTGCGCATATCGAATTGTAATTTCCTGAATTATGGCCCTTGATTGTAGGAAAAATCACTTTCTTCTTAGCTTGTTCTCTATCCATCTTTTGAAAATGTGGGCGTATCCTGCCTGGCAGCCGCTGGTTTTTCTTCTGTTTCTCTTTTTTGTTTGCTTCTGCTGCTAATCTACTCTGAAATATTTAGGATACATATCTTATAGTTATGGTTTATTTCATCAATTTTGTAACAACAAAAATATAGAATAAAAGACAAATTTGATCTCCTAGCTACTACAAGTATATTAAACTCCATTAGTAAGAATTGTTTGTTTTTTTTTATGCTCACTCAGTGGGTTGGATGGCCGAATGGTTAGCATGTGGACGTTAAAATCGATTTCGTTAAAATCCATTTCTCTCTCTCTCTATTTTTATGCTCACTCACATTTAATCTGTATGTATATTGTTTCTCTTAAGTCCGTCCGTCTGTCTACAATTTTTGTGAACCTACCATAGATGTGGATCAATATAATTGAAAATGTAATTTAATTGGTTTAACGTCCTACTGTTCTGCTCCTAAACTGGGCTAATGAAGACAGGCATACGCCATACAGTGTGCTATGAGGGGAATTTTGCCCGGGCAGCGGCACTATGGCCTACTCTTATATCGAATTCCAACTGCCAAGGGATCTTTTACGTGCACGCCAATGTGTACACGGGACCTCGGTTTTTCATCCCATCGGAACGACTAGACAGCTGTCCTTGTCAGGCCCGCCGTCCTGCATCACTGACAAGGGGGAACCATGCCGGAAAATCTGGATGAACGTTCTCGGCCAATGCAGGGATCGAACACCCGACCTCCAGGCTAGCGAGCCAGCGTCTTACCCACTTAGCCACGTGATCCCCCAATTGGCAAAGACAAGTGTGTTTCATGCGAATCTATTGTGACCATTCAAAACCATGCATACAAAATATGATTTGTTATGGACCTTAAGTATGTGTAAGTGGCCAAGTCAATCATCTACACTAGATTTTGAAGGAGGAAAGGGTACGCCTAGAAGAACCAAGGTAAGAAATCGATGATTACTATCAATAAAATATTTGCATTTATTCAAATTATAGGAATGATCTATCTTTCAAGAGTTGATGCACCGCTGAATGGTCTAAAAGGTCTTTCATTGTGTTAAAGTGATGATTACTATTAGTAAAATATTTTCATTTATTAAAATTATGGGAGATAATAAATACTCTATCTTTCAAGAGTGGGTGGATGGTCTAATGTTTTAGATATAAAGGTCTGGCATTGTGTCAAAGTAACTTGGTTTTGATAATAGACTTGTGTGTGACTAGGAGTATGTTTGCCTGACTAACAGAGTGTGTTTCTCTCAATGTCCACAAATTTTATCCTGTGATGAAGAAACAAGTTAGTCTCAAAATGACCTAGTTTGTGTTAAATATATGTTAAAGTCTGTCAATGAAATTATTTGAGCGTGGGATTACCCGAGAATTTGATAAAATTAAAAGCTTTGAGACAATATTTATGCTCATTTAGGTGCATACATGTATACAGTGGAGTCATGCCAAAACGGCGGTAATGCTTTTCTCGTTTGTTTCTCTGTGATGAGTATTGAATTCCTCAACGTTTATCATACTTTGCAAATGATATAAGGAAAGAATCAATGTTGGGTAATATGTGACCAGTGACAGCCAAATGAGTCACTTGGGATAAAAAAATAATATTTGAGTTATGCATATATTTAGAAAGTACATGTTATAAGCTTTTCAATGGTATATAAAATGTAAAGATTAGATGGAAATTAAAAAAGTTATGCACAAACAAAGTTGAAATAAAGTTTTGTTTTTAGCATTGATTTTAATGACACTACTTTTAAAAACACCCAACTTATTCACTAAATTAATTAAATATTTGAATTTGTCTGGATTACTTTAATAATAGACAAGTTAAGGCATCGGATTTCGCTATTTTACATCGTAGCGTTAAATGAGCACGTCCGACTTCTGACTCATTTGGCTGTCACCGGTCATATATATTTTGATGGGCCTCTTTTAAATCTGATATCGGGGATCACGGTGGCTAAGTGGGTAAGGCGCTGGCTCGCTAGCCTGGAGGTCGGGTGTTCGATCCCCGCATTGGCCGAGAAAGTTCATCCAGATTTTCCGGCGTGGTTCTCCCTTGTCAGTGATGCAGGACGGAGGGGCTGACAAGGAAAGCTGTCTAGTTGTTCGGATGGGACGAAAAACCGAGGTCCCGTGTACACATTGGCGTGCATGTAAAAGATCCCTTGGCAGTTGGAATTCGATATAAGAGTAGACCGTAGCGCAGCTGCCCGGGCAAAATTTCTCATAGCCCACTGTATGCTCGTCTTCATTAACCCAGGTTAGTAGCAGAACAGTAGGACGTTAAACTCCATTTCATTTCATTTCCAATTCGGGAGATTATCTGTCGTTGATAGTTTGATTTTGTTTTCTTAATGAAATGTTAAAATAATTAATCTGAATACATTTTAGGCCTATTTTGTTATTTTAGAGTCTGGATGATCATAGCCATCAAACTTTTATACAGAATAATTTACAGGAAATAATAGAATTAGTATCAGAACATGGTGAGAATTTATTTTGACTTTCATCAGTACAATGTATAAAAATAAAAGTAACAGGAATTGGGTGGTTCCCTCCCACAGCTTACCACCTCTACGTGCAGGCTAACTATTCTCTATCAATAGATGAAAAAAAAACCAAGATCTTGGGCATTCTGATTAAAACACTTTCGTTTTTTTTTTTAAAGTTAACAATTTCGTTTTACTTGTCTGAACTACACTAAGATCTGGACTAATTGTTATATACCCCACAGAACTGTTGGTATCCCAGTAGAAACATCAGTGTTGATTAGTTAATCAAAAATCTGACATCATATGGTCAAAAGCTGCGTGTATGACCCCTGAACTGACCTCCCACTACATGGGGGCTATCGAAAGTATAATAAACAAAACGAAAGATAGACCTGTGTTTTAATCAAGATTGGGGGGGTGGATGGCTGAATGGTTAGCGTGCGCGCGCTGTATCATAAAGTCTGTCATTGAGTCGACAGGCGTGGTTTCGAATCCCCGGTTGTACGTGACAAGGAGTGGGGTCACCTGTCTAACCTCATGGGTTTTCTACGGGTCCTCCGGTTTCCTCCAACTGCTAAACACCCTACACACAAGCGATTATTATTGAAATAAAATTAAACCATGTGTTAGTCCTGAAATGACCTAGTTTGTGTCCAGTGGACATCAAACCCCATTTTTTCTCTCTCTCTCTCTCTCAAATTAATAGAGATGTAAATTATTTATATTACAGAGAAGGGTGCTAGTGAGAGATTTGATGGTATCTTATTACTAGAAGCAGTGGATGCTCTGGGATTTATTCTAGCTGGCAGCAATGATAAAAACAGGTTAATTAATTTATTATTTTCACACTTTATCATTTGTAATTTATTGATGAGGATAATGGAGGTGTAGGGGGAGGATAATGAAGGTCTAGGGGGAGGGGATCAAACTTTCTCCCTATGTGTCTCCCACTATCCGCCCTGACCGCTCGGCTAAAATGTTCCATTCCAATCACGACCTACACTTGTTGCCGTCTGCGGGGGTAAAAGAGAAAGTGTTACGCTCAAAGAAATGAAATGGGGTTTTACGTCCTACTGTTCTGCTCCTATACTGGGCTAATGAAGACGGGCATATGCCATACAGTGTGCTATGAGGGAATTTTTGCCAAGGGATCTTTTACGTGCATTCCAATGTTTACACGGGACCTCGGTTTTTCGTCTCATCCGAAGGACTAGACAGCTGTCCTTGTCAGCCCTTCGTCCTGCATCACTGACAAGGGGAAATACGCTCAAAGAATAAAGAAGTTCGTAGAAATGCTGCTGTCTGGTATCTATGTTTGAATTGCACACAAGACACAAGCAATAAAAATTACCTTGTATTAATGTATGACCAAACATGGCCATGTCGATCAGGCATACGCATCTTTCCATTCAACTCTCTCTCGCTCACTTTTGTAATTTTATGATTTTAATTTTTCATATTGTTTTTTTTGTTCATGAGCCCAGTCGGAGCAGAACAGTAGGATGTTAAACCTGATTTCATTTCATATATTCTATTTTTTCTTATAACAGAAGTGTGAAGACCATTTTAGAATTAGCAACTCTCGCATCCTTCCAGTCAGCAACAGGATATTCTAAGGTACTGTCAATCATTCAGCTGTTTAAACACTCGCAGTCCTAACTTCCTTAAAGCCTTAAAGTCTTGAAGCACCGTTTTAGTGCTATATTAATCACTTGCAAACTTCAATATTTACAAAGATATGTGGAATTGAAATTTCATCAATCTGTTCTGTTCTGCTTTGCTATGTAATAAGCCTTTCGTCATGTTGTTGTCAGCGAAAATTTATTGTTAGGCCAGTTTTAAATGCAATTGAATCCAAGCCGAGACATTGTCTAGTGTTGGTTTTTGATTTTGTTTCCATAGTCAGATGGGGATCACGTGGCTAAGTGGGTAAGACGCTGGCTCGCTAGCCTGGAGGTTGGGTGTTCGATCCCTGCATTTGCCGAGAAAGTTCATCCAGATTTTCCGGCGTGGTTTCCCCTTGTCAGTGATGCAGGAAAGAGGGCCTGACAAGGACAGCTGTCTAGTCGTTTGGATGGGACGAAAAACCGAGGTTCCCGTGTACAAATTGGCGTGCACGTAAAAGATCCCTTGGCAGATGGAATTCGATATAAGAGTAGGCCGTTGCGCCGCTGCCCAAGCAAAATTTCCCTCATAGCACACTGTATGGCGTATGCCCGTCTTCATTAGTCCAGTTTAGGAGCAAAACAGTAGGACGTTAAACCCCATTTCATTTCATTTTATTTCCAATGTCAGATGTTAATCTGAGTATATTAGTGTGGATTAAGGGGGAAGACTATCCGAAAAATTTATTCTGAAATGTTAAAGCTGTTTAACCCGTTAAGCGTGATGTCTTTAAAACGTTAACTACCCCCTATTGTGTAATTAATTTGACGAAGTGACGAAGAACTATGTTATAAGAATAGGTTGGGGAAAATACCTCCAAAGCGTTATATTACGCCCTACACACAGTAAGTGGCAGTTGTCCAGGACGTTATATAACGACTTACGCACTTAACGGGTTAATTGAAAATAGTACAAGTAGTTAGGAAAGGTAATAAAGAAGGGAAAACTAGCATTAAAAAAAAAGTTGTTGCAAGGGTAACACATTTTTTTGGGAAAAAGTTATGAAAAACGTAGGTACATTATATCTCTGTAAGTAATTAAGATATCTTCGCAAATTTGCAGGGTATATAAACTAATATCTACCACAGAATCAGACAGAAAGCAATTTGAATTATCATTAATATTCAAAAGTTATCAAAATATTTCTCCAAAGACAAAATATTGTGGTGAGGCAAATGTTTTAAACACCATTTTCCAAGAAGCTATAAAAATTATAGAGAAAAACTCTCTGTCTGGTTTTGGGGTTATCATTAAAGAATAAGCAGTCCGAAAATGAGACATTTATCTTTATTAGTGCCTGAGATATGGTCTACCTACGTTTTTCATACCTTTTCCAAAAAAAATGTGTTACCCTGGCAACAACTTTATTTTCTTTATTTTTAATGTTAGTTTTCCCTTGTTTATTACATTTCCTAACTTCTTGTGCCATCTTCAATTCAATAGCTTTAGAATTTCAGAAAGCATTTTTTGGGTAGCCTCATCTCTTAAGATGTGAAAAATTCATATTTTACTGTAAATGTCACCAAAATGTCAGTGTTACCTGCAACAGGTAAATTGAAATGTTAGTAATTTCCGTGGTTCTCCATCAATAAACAATTTGTGACATCATTTTAGTCCTTCTGCTCTTAGAAATATAGACTAGAATATGAGCAGAAGGACTAAAATGACGTCACAAATTGTTTATTGACGGAAAGTTACGACTAACTACAGAGAACAGTGGGAATTGCTAACGTTGAAATTTACCTGTGACAGGTAACATTGACATTCAGGTTTGTGTTATACTTATTTAACATTATGTTGTTGACATAATTACATGCATTATTTAAAAAAGATTTGAAGCTTTTTCGGTGACCTTTAATAAACAAAAGCTCACATATTCCATCCACTATGAAGCAGGACTGAGTTTTCTCCAGTTGGACTTTGTGGTATTCAGTTCTTTAAAATTTATTTTTCAGTTGGGTCAGACATTTTCACTACGTCTCTTACAGTCGTGGATAAAAGATAATTTAGGGCAGAATCCATTTAATGTTCCATCGTGTATAGCAACAGGAACAAGACTGTCCTGGCTATTTGCAGGTTTGTACAAAAAAAGGGATTTATGTTAAAAGATTCTATGTTGTCAAAGGTCATCTAAAAAAAAGGTGATTTGATGACCGGAGGGGAGCTGGATGGCCTAGTGGTTAGCACGTGCACGCAGGGCTGCCGACAACCAGTATCGCAGCGCTATTTGCGATACATATTTTGTCCGTTGCTAATCAAAAAATAAAATCTAAAGTTTTTGATTCGCAGTAACTGCGAATCATTAATATGCCTGTCATTTTGGATTTTGACACAAGGATAATCCACATTTGAAGACTAGAAGGCTTTCTCAACACTTTCAACGTGTATAAAATGTTGAATAAAATTTTATAAACAAAACTGAATTTTCCGAGTGACATTTTCTACTCGAACTACCCAGACACAATTCATTATACGGTACTATATAATACAGCGACATAACTCTATGAATAGGGACTATTAAACCGGAAATAGGGAATCAAGTAGTACCACTCACGTTGCGAGACATCAAGTAATTATATCATATTCATTTTGAAAGAAATAAATCCAGTGTATCCCCCGCGTATTGTAAATAAAATATAAAAAAATAAATATATGTTAACGTATTGTAAAATGATAAATCAAAGTAAAAATTCCCGTAAAATATCGCGTGTGTCTAGTTAATCGAAGTGCGTCCGATTTAACAAAAATAGCAATACACGATAAAAAAAAAGCAGACGAAATAGTTTTCTAACGAAGATTTCTAATGTAACAAAAAATAACAATAAAAATGATTGGGGCTTCGGAAGTCACTGTTAAGAATTGGCTTCAGACATAAGACCTAACTAAATGTCTACATCACATTCACAAACTGTCACAAGTACTTGTGGCAGTGCTAAAAAAATCTAAGAATAGTAAGAATGGAATCTAATCATATTTGTTATGAACTAAAGTAATATCTTATTATTTAGGTGTTTTATGTTGAAACTGTAAAACTGCTAATCAATTTTTAAATTTGCTAATCAAATTTGGCAAAATTGGACTTTTTGATTAGCAGTGCTGCTAATCAACTGTGAAAAATTACCGACAGCCCTGCGTGCACGCTGTATCATAAGGTCTGTTATTGAGTCAGCTGTCTTGGTTTTGATACTCCAGTTTTACGTAGGGTCGCCTGTCCAACCTTGTGGGTTTTCTCCAGGTCCTCTGGGTTCCTCCCACTGTTAACGACCAATACGCGCAAGCGAATTATTGAAATAAAACTTAATGATAGGTTAGTCCCGAAATTACCTAGTTTGTGTCGAGTGGATGTTAACCTCTCTCTCTCTCTCTCTCTCTCTCTCTCTCTCTCTCTCTCATATATTAGCCCATTAGTACTTTAAGACCCCTTTCATATCATTTCATCAATGGTGCCATAACAGAAATTGACATAGTGTTGATAGAACCGCAGCTGTAAAAGCAAGATGTTGTATCAATGATAGTCTAAAAATGATCAAATATTGTTTGGACTGGGACACGAACCCCCATTCCACTTGGTTAAATTATAGACAATCAAACAATTTCTTCCATTTCAGGTGAATCATCTCGAAGTGACCGAAGTAAAAGAGGAAAAATAGCAACCAATGCTAATATTGTACCTAAAAATGTCATTACAGGGTAAGACATCACGCTTGCAAGATTTTTATTTCAAAAGACCATGACAATCTTTAGCGGTATCTTTTAAAAAATAAAGACCACAAATATGAGGTTCAATTCTTTGATATTCTAATTTTATATCAATTGACGAACAAGTTGAATTCTCTATCTAATCAATTTCACTGTTGTATACAGAAGGTGGCTTTTCTTTCTGGAACACTTGATGTCATTTCTCCCACATTTGAGAGGTTTAAACAACTAGCTGAGATTTTTCTTGTATAAAAAACAATCTTGATCAGAATATTCAATAATATTGTATGAAAAAAGGATTTTATTTGGGAGGCATGCATAACTTAAAATTTTATTTTACTCTTTTTAGGGTAAGACACATTTCATAGCAGAGAAATCTGTTTCATATGTAAACCAATAAAAACAAAGTTATCTCCTTGGCTAGGGACAACGTATAGTTGTTCTTATGGGACAAAAAAATGAGATTCTGTGAACCTAAAAGAACCCTCAACAGGATGTTAAATGACATTTCATTTCATTTCTGATAGTCTCTTTATCTTTTCAGGAATAAGTTAATTGTCATGTCACAGATCAGTAAGCAAACAATAGCTAGGGTGGGTATTGGATGAAACTTTTGATAAAAAAACTTAAATAGCGATAATAAGTCTCTGAAATAATTTACTGTCATTTATCATCGTATAAAGCTACAAATTATTGAATATGCATATTAACCCTTAACCGGTCTTTGTCGACTATAGTCAACATAATGTTATACAGCTAAGTGATCACGGTCAACTAGCAGTCGACCATGGTAGGAACCTTTTTTTATGAGCCACATTTGAGTATTTAGTTTCGTGTTTAATTGATATGGCCACGCATGCGTGTCAGACAGGAACTTGTCTTGTCAAGGGCATTGAGAAAAACATGTCTCTCAAAGTGGTTGAAATGCTTATGAATGATTCCGACTCGGATTATATCCTTGACACCGATTCTGAAGGGGGATCACGTGGCTAAGTGGGTAAGGCGCTGGCTCGCTAGCCTGGAGGTCGGGTGTTCGATCCCTGCATTGGCCGAGAAAGTTCATCTCGATTTTCCGGCGTGGTTTCCCCTTGTCAGTGATGCAGAACGGAGGGCCTGACAAGGACAGCTGCCTAGTCGTTCGGATTGCACGAAAAACCGAGGTCCCGTGTACACATTGGCGTGCACGTAAAAGATCCCTTGGCAGTTGGAATTCGATATAAGAGTAGGCCGTAGCACCGCTGCCCGGGCAAAATTTCCCTCATAGCACACTGTATGGCGTATGCCCATCTTCATTTGGCCCTGGTTAGGTGCAGAAGAGTAGGACGTTAAACCCCATTTCATTTCATTTCATTTCCGATTCTGAAGACGATATTTCTAATGAAAATGATTTAGAAAAAGAGAGACAATGTGCAAATTATAGATAAACTTATCCCCTTCAACCTTTTTATTGGTGTCAAGAGTCTATCACTTATAATTACTGGCAGTAGTTGTTTGAAATAGCCATACAAAATATTTCACTTTAGCCTTTATTTAGCCTGACCACTTGACGTCATGACGTCAAAATGACGTAGACCGGTTAAGGGTTAATTTATAAATTCAAGCAGTCTAAGCTTCTGTACCTGCTGCATTCTTGTTCAGTCTTTTATCTTTCTATTTTAACTCAAATGGTGATCATTATTAACTTGTCTGTTAATTTCTCAACACCGCTTGGGAAAGTAAACAGTTTTAGACCGACACTACTTATCTAATATAGATGAAACAGGGGGGGATGGATGGCCAAGGGTTAGCACGTGCGTGCTGTATTATTCGGCCTGTCATTGAGTCAACTGACGTGGTTTCGAATCCCCGGTTGTAGGTGACAAGGAGTGGGTCGCCTGTCCAATCTCGTGGGTTTTCTCCGGGTTCTCCGGTTTCCTCCCACTGCTAAAGACCCCTATGCGCAAGCAAATTACTGAAATAAAAAAATAAATAAACCATATGTTAGTCCCGAAATGACCTAGTCTGTGTTGAGTGGACGTTAAACCCTATCCCTCTCTCTCTCTCTCTCTCTCTCTAGATGCAACAGAAGGTACCCAATATTTTCAATGATTCACAACGACAATGAATTTGAACAATTTGCCAGCAATGGTTTAAAGCTAAACATTAAATACAGAAACTCCTGCTAAAACAGCATAGCTGTTGTCAGATTTAGCTGACCGGATTCATTCAATTTGTTGTTCATTGTAATGAAGGCCACTGAAAACTGCAGAACCTTTCTTGTGTTAGTCTAACCAAGAATGCTTTGGTCAACTGTATATTAAAATTACCATTTGAATTTAATTACCACAGATAGAGCTAATGATCAAAATGGTTAACTCTAGAATTTAGATTGTATATTTTATTTTTCAGAGTTCTGGAACTTTGGAATTGAGTTGTGTTAAAATTCATAGAAGTTATTATTCATACCTTTATTTACTTTCACCTTTAAGGTAATTCTGATACCCTTTGGGTTATCCATTGCACCACAGCATTTCAGATGTGTATGTCTGGACAGTGTTCATGTAGAAAATTATAAAAATATCTAACATCTCTTTATGTTTTATCAACAATTAAGCATCTTTTTATTATACCATATCTGGTCTCATTTCAAACAGTGGATTAGTCTGATCTTGAAAGATACAAATTAGAACACAAGAAATCGTTGTGCGTTCCAGGAAATATTGGAAATAAGCTTGCATTCCCTTTAATGGACTTCAACTTCAAATATTTATTATGTTTTGTAGAACATGGTGTGTGAATAAATGCTTTTTATTAGTACAAACAATTAGGTTCACTTTGTTATTTTTCATATTTGATTCCTGTGTTCGCCTAAAATTATATTTTTTTGGTATTATTTCTCAGTAGGGGGATCACATGGCTAAGTGGGTAAGACGCTAGCTAGCTAGCCTGGAGGTCGGGTGTTCGATCCCTGCATTGGCCGAGAAAGTTCATCCAGATTTTCCGGCGTGGTTTCCCCTTGTCAGTGATGCAGGACGGAGGGCCTGACAAGGAAAGCTGTCTAGTCGTTCGGATGGGACGGAAAACCGAGATCCCATGTACACATTGGCGTGCACGTAAAAGATCCCTTGGCAGTTGGAATTCGATATAAGAGTAGGCTGTAGTGCCGCTGTCCGGGCAAAATTTCCCTCATAGCACACTGTATGGCGTATGCCCGTCTTCATTAGCCCAGGTTAGGAGCAGAACAGTAGGACGTTAAACTCCATTTCAATTTTATTTATTTCTCAGTAATTACCTGCCTTTGTATATATATACCTGACCTTGTTTGTGTTGAGTTGACATTAAAATCTCTTGCCCTCCGGTTAAGGAGAAACAGGTTAGGAGCAGAACAGTAGGACGTTAAACTCCATTTCAATTTTATTTATTTCTCAGTAATTACCTGCCTTTGTATATATATACCTGACCTAGTTTGTGTTGAGTTGACATTAAAATCTCTTGCCCTCCGGTTAAGGAGAAACATAAATTTAGTTATGAACTTATCATCAGTCAGATGATTGTTTATATTTGTTTCTGAACTGAACTGATCTCAGATTATTTTTTCATATATTTTTTCTTTTTTATTTGTATTTGTAGATCTGTAACAGTTGAGAAATGTCGTAAGTCTACGATTGTTTTAGGACCAGTAGAAACAACACTACATGTTAGTAATTGTGAAAATATAACGATCATTGCTCTATGTAGAAATATTATCATCAGGTTTGTTTTTTGTTTTTTTGGGCGTTTTTTCTTCCAACATCATGGGTTTTCTCCGGGTCCTCCGGTTTCCTCCCACTGCTAAAGACACCTATGCGCAAGCAAATTATTGAAATAAAATTAAAAACCATATGTTAGTTCCGAAATGACCTAGTCTGTGTCGAGTGGACGTTAAACTCTCTATCTCTCTCTCTCTCTCTCTCTCTCTCTCTCTCTCTCTCTCTCGTTTTTTTCTATTGTCCTCAGTGAGTAAGACATTGGCTCACCAACATGGAGGTCCCGTGTTCCATCCCTGTGTTGGCTGAGTAATTGCATATTAATTTTCCAATGTGGTTTCGACTTGTCAGGGGTGCAGGAAAAGGGGCTTGGCCAAAGGAAACGTTTATAATCATTTTGATGGGACGAAAAACTGAGGTCCTGTGTACACATATAAAAGTAGGTCATAGTGCCACTGTCTGGGCAAAATTACCCTCATAGCACACTGTATGACGTAAGGTCACTTTTACTAACACAGTCGGAGCAGAACAGTAGAATGTTAACTCCAATTAAAGACACATTATCATTAGGGTCCTTATATTAAAAATACCATTATCGCTAGGATCTTTATATTCATTGTAATATTAAAACGACATTATCGCTAGGATCCTTATATTCATTCAGGGGCGAATTGGGCCATCGTCAAAATAACCTATTTCTGCTGAACATTATATGGGGTTGGTTGGGGAGGGGGTATTGGACCGGCCATGGAGCTATGATGATCATGTTGTATGTCTGGAATGGGCTGGTATAATAGACTTTCTGTGCTGGGTGTGGGCCGGAATTCGGAATCCTGCATTTTTTAATGAAAATATTCCTACTTGTTCAATATCCCTAACTGGTTAATCGAATGGTCAAAATTTTCTCAACTAGTCCCATTTTTTAACCAGTTAAATACTCTTGACTCTTGACGATACAATGATGTTACGTTACTTAATAATATGACGATATGATAATTTCACAGGTTGATGGTTGTAAATTACTTGCAGGTCGGGGTTTGGGCCTAAATTAATCGATTTATGAGATATATTATTTGACAGAGATTATAATCAGATATAGATATCTTGTCACCCTCTTCATTGTACAGGGGATCACGTGTCTAAGTGGGTAAGACGCTGGCTTGCTAGCCTGGAGGTCGGGTGTTCGATCCCTGCATTGGCCGAGAAAGTTCATCTTGATTTTTTACGACGTGATTTCCCCTTGTCAGTGATGCAGGACGGAGGGCCTGACAAGGACAGCTGTCTATTCCTTTGGATGATACGAAAAATTGAGGTCCTGTGTACACATTGGCGTGCACGTAAAAGATCCCTTGACAGTTGGAATTCGATATAAAAGTAGGTGATAGTGCCGCTGCCCGGGCTAAATTTCCCTCATAGCATACTGTATGGTGTATGCCCGTCTTCATTAGCCCAGTATAGGAGCAGAACAGTAGGACGTTAAACCCCATTTCATTTCATTTCTTCATCGTACCCCAGGTACCCTTCCACACTAAAGTTGTTTGTGGTTGGTGCTTTGGTAGGTGCGAAAGAAGTAAGCCTATCTAAATTCAGAATATTTTTAGTTAATGGTTTGGAGCTATCCCCTGTGTTTTTCTAATCTATTAATTCTTGTGGACTTGAGACAGGTCAAAGTTATCAATAGGTGGAAGGATCAAAGAACTTTTGGATTATAAATTTTGAACGCATTTCTCAGAGTTAAATGTTTTGTGGTATTTGTTGATCCGACTTCATTACCCCAGTCGGAGCAAAACAGGAGGACGCTAGTGGGTATTCTAGGGTGTCTGATCATGACAAGCTTCTATGTTTCTATTTTCAGTGGTTGTACATTGTGTACCATATATTTATTAACACCCAATCGTCCAGCCTTACTCAGTGGTAATGATACAATCATACTAGCACCCTATCACACGTTTTATCCTAAATTAGACGAACATCTAGCTAGAATGGGAATAGGTACAGATCTTAATCTCTGGGATCAACCATTATGTGTTGGTGAGTATATTGTTAACTTTATATTCTTGTTTCTATAAAGTGGGGATGGGGGGAATGGTCAAATGGTTAGCATGTGCGCGTTGTGTGATAAGGTCTGTCATTGAGTCAACTAGCATGGATTCGATTCCCCGGTTGTACGTGACAAGGAGTAGGGTCGCCTGTCCAACCTCGTGGGTTTTCTCCGGGTCCTCCAGTTTCCTCCCACTGCTAAAGACCCCTATGGGCAAGAGAATTATTGTAATAAAATTGAACCATATGTTAGTCATGAAATGAGCTGGACATTTAATCCTATTTCTCTTTGTTCCTATAAATAGATTCTACAAGAAGTTTTTATATTTTATATACTGAACTACCGATACAGTATTACATACAGTCAATGTAAACAACATTATACACAACGATAACACTCCTGGTGGATACAGGTTGGGTTAGGAAAGATTCTTGCAAGGAAAAAACGAAAATAAACGATAATGAAAATCTTTGCCATGTAGGACAACTAGGAGTTTTATAGCGACTATATCATATTGTTTTATGTTTGAGAAGCTCACGTGACCAACAGACGTTTGGTTTTCTTTTGAGAATAACTGAAATACTACTAGACTCTGATTTGGTTCATAAATGAAATGAAATGAAATGAAGTGGAGTTTAACGTCCTGCTGTTCTGCTCATAACCTGGGCTAATGAAGACGGGCATACGCCATACAGTGTGCTATGAAGGAAATTTTGCCCGGACAGTGGCAGTACGGCCTACTCTTATATAGAATTCCAACTATCAAGGGATCTTTTACGTGCACGCCAATGTGTACACGGGACCTTGGTTTTTTGTCCCAATAATTTAGGGTTATCCGGCTTGTTTCTATAACTTTATTTACTTTATAAACAATATTCAAACAGCCCCTTCAACTGACAAGTTAAATACTTTTTAAAGTCGTAATTAAAGGTCACCGAAAAGGGTTCATTTGTACAACACGAACCCGTCAATAAACAATCTGTGACGTCATTTTAGTCCTTCGGCTCATATTCTAATCTATATTTCTATGAGCCGAAGGACTAAAATGACGTCACAGATTGTTTATTGACAGAAAGTTTTGACTACCCACGGAGAATGGCGGAAATTACTAATGTTGAAATTTACTTGTTATAGGTAATATTGAAATTTGGTTTCGTGTTATACTTATTGAAATGATATGTTGACATAATTACTTGCATTATTTAAAAAATTTATGAAGCTTTTCTGGTGACCTTTAAGGAACGTGGATTGCCAATGATATAGTGAACTGGATAAATCATCTTTAAAATAAAACATCTTTTTTTGTTTAACTTTTTTGATAGGCATTTATTAAACATACATTATGCAAGAGCTAAATCTGTCTATTACAAGTCTTTCTTTAGGCCTCAAATGTTATCTAAATTATAAATAAGACATTTATTAACTTATCCAGACCATAATCAACTCTCAATGCCATCGCTAGCCTGCGATATGTAGCGGATCGGAATACATTTTTTAATAAATAATTAAAGTATAGATAATCAAGACTACGTTTTTTATCGAACCGGCTTTAGTAATGATGATCGAGGTTAGCCTAATATTCAAAAGCTAATATCTCGGTTCAGAGTGGAGCAATTTGACTGGAATTTTCAGCATATTCTATTTAGGTTATAGAGAGAAATGTCAACTTTTTATCTAATCTCCCATAATTCCCCTTTAAGTGAACATATTATATAAACACAATTTTATGGAAACACATATATTATATTTTGTTATGCAACATTTCAACGGGGAAACTCATATATTTATCAAGGTAATGATGTGAATAAGTGGATGGGAGACAAATATAACAATGAAGTATAATTTTGTTTAGGTCCCGATAATCGTGAAGATTGTCCAGTCTGGGAGTTAATGCCTATAAAAGAATTCTATACTTTTACTATACCGATTTAGGTCCCGATAATTGTGAAGATAATCCATGTCTGGGAGTTAATGCCTGTATAAGAATACTATACTTTTACTATCCTGTTTTAGGTCCCGATAATCGTGAAGATAGTCCAGTCTGGGAGTTAATGCCTGTAAAAGAATTCTATACTTTCACTATACCGTTTGAGATGGACGGACCCACACAGGTAGGACAGCTTTATTATTTATATTAAATTTATAGAGAGAGCAGTAGATACCTTAAATTATCCAAAAGGCTCTGTATGTTTCAATGATATTAGCCTTATTTGGGGGGGGGGGGGAATGGCCGAATGGTTAGCACGTGCACGCTGTATCATAAGGCCTGTCATTGAGTCAACTGGCCTGGTTGTATGCGACAATTCATTCGCCCAGGTTAGGAGCAGAACAGTAGGACGTTAAACCTCATTTCATTTCATTTTGTGTGCGACAAATAGTAGGGTTGCCTGTCCAACCTCGTGGGCGTTCTCCGTGTCCTCCAGTTTCCTCCCACTGCTAATTAAAGACCCCTATGCGCAATCAATTTATTGAAATAAAATTAAACCATATGTTAGTTCAGAAATCACCTAGTTTGTGTCGACTGGACGTTAAACCCCATTTCTCTCTCTATTAGCCTTATGTTACTGAAACTCGCTTAGTTAGATGTTGGCTGGCTAACCTGGAGGTATGGTTTTTGATCTCAATTCATCAGGATTTTCTGGTGAAATGCCAGCCTGTAAGTGGTGCAGGACAGTGGGCTTGGCAAGGGACAACCAAGGTCCTGTGTACACATTGGCGTGCACGTAAAAGATCTCTTGAAATTCAATATAAGAGTAGTGATGTCCAGGCCAATTTCCATTTCATTTTCATGTGGACGTATATTGTCTTAGCCCCTTTCCATCTGGATGCCCGTTCACATTTGTTTGTGGCACTCTACAGGTCACAGTTTTTATCCGATTGGGATTAAACTTCAAATTTATGTTTATAACCCAAATATCTCAGTTTCTGTAGTTCTGGGCTACAAAAAAGCAATGGTAAAAAGATCACTTTTCACTTTTTTTAAGGAACTACAGGTATTTAATATTCATGTCTACCAAAATATTTTTTTTCTAAATATTTGTAGTCAATACCGGTAGGTCTACCTAGTCGTTATCAGCGAATAGTTTCACAGCGTTCTAAACAGATTGATGATTGGCAGAGAACAGTGAAAGAGTCAGGGCTTAATCGACAACAACGGAAAGAATTTCAAGCTCTCCTCGAAAGAAGATTTCATGTAAGTTTATTTTCTAGTTTATAGATTGGATGAACCTCTTAGTGAATGATATGTGTAATGAATTGAAATGGGGTTTAACGACCTGGGCACTTATTCACGAAAACTTAAACTAAATTACAACCGAAATTTTAAGAAATACTGCAACTTTATTGGATATATGCAAATTGATTTTACTGGTCAGCCAATCGAATTGCGGTATTTCTTAAAATTTCGATTGTATCTTAGTTTAAGTTTTTGTGAATAAGGGCCCTGCTTTTCTGCTCCGACTTGGCTAATGACGACGGGCATATGCCATACAGTGTGCTATGAGTAAAATTTTGCCCAGACAGCGACACTACAGGCTAATGGAGACGGAAGAAGATATGCTGAAAGCTGGAGTGCTTGGTGCTGGCTAATCAAGGTGACCTAGGTTTGACTTTGATCACTGGGATATTCCAACCTGGTTTCCCCAGTGTCTAGTTGTTCTGATGGGATGAAAAACTACCTTTTTAAACTTGATGCAGAGTAGACGTCACTGTCCAAGCACTATCACTGTCATAGCACAGACACTGTATAGCCTATGCTCATCATCATTATCATAACTGGTACAAAAAAGAAGAAATTAAACCTCATTTCATTTTATTTGATATATTTTAAAAAGCTGTTGATAATGTTTGAATTCCATTTCATATATATATACTATACAGTATATTTTAAAAAGCTGTTAATAATAGTTTGATGTACATTTTATTTGTTTGAATTCTATCATTTCATTTCATTTCATATAATAAACTGGTCGATATTAGTTTATATGGTTTTCATTTGAATTTTAGATATGGTTAGAAGAATCTGGACATAAACACGAGTTGGACAGTCTGGTGATTCCATTACAGAAAGAGGGACAACAGAAAAAATAATACATTTTCACATCATATATTTGTATATATAGAAAACACATTCATATATTTCATCAAATCACTTTACTTTCTTTTCTCTAGATCAAAAAATCTAAAATATATGTAGAGGCCAATCAATAATCCTTGATGGCATCATAAGGTTATGTCTAACATTCATTTCCTCAAATGTTATGCGATGTCGCCGTGTGGTTAATCGTTAACACTTCCTTGAAAGTCAGTATTAAAGACTTGGGAGTCAGTAAGTCTATATTGTCAGTATTGTTCAGGAGAGTCATTAAATGCATAACAACCAAGAATCATGATAATTTACGAAGAAACATCAAAATGTCATATTACTAAAGAATTTCTCAATTATTTCGAACTGTTTAAGCAAAAAACCCTGAAACAATATTTGCTACTTTCAGTTTGCTTGTAATGTGAGGCACAAAGTTTATTTTTTCCATACGAAAAAATTTTTTTTTGTTCTTAATACTTTTTCCACACATAATATTTTGAAACATTGTCTATAAAATCCCTTTTTGTGTAAGAAATATGAAAACTAGATAAAAATATCTGCAAGAAAATTTAGATTTTGAAAAACATAAATGTGAATTTCATAAGATATGACCTTATGATTCCCCACCGCTGATGTCCAATTGTTGTTTCATAACTCTGTAAAATAAGAAATTAATGTTTCCATATGAAATTAATGTTTCCATTTTATTAATTAATGCTAAACTTCGTTAATCATTGTACAATATATACTAGACATTATATATTTATAATGTTATTGTATTGGCATCCAATGCCTGTTGCTTTAAAACATATTTGCGTCTCAGTGATCATTGCTTTAAAATTTGAAACATATTTTACGTATCAATACTTATTGATTTAAACTTTAAAACTTATTTGCATCCCAATGCTCATTGTTTTAATCTTTAAAACTTATTTGCGTCCCAATGCTCATTGATTTAAACTTTAAAACTTATTGCATCCCTATGCTTGTTGCTTTTAAATTTAAAACTTATTTACGTCCCAATGCTTGTTGCTTTTAACATTTCCAAAGATTTAAAATTTCTTTGCGTCCCAAAGCTCATTGTTTTAAAATTTAATACTTATTTGCGTCCTAATGCTTGGTGCTTTAAAATTTAAAACTCATTTTCTTCCTAATGCTCGTTGCTTTTAACGTGTAAACTGTCTCATTGAATTTTTGCAAGATCTAAAACCGTCCAACAATATTAACAGCTTATTTTATATATATTTAATATCTGTATCAGCTTGATGATTTTATATTATATTATATATTATATTATATATTATATTATATTATATTATATTATATTATATTATATTATATTATATTATATTATATTATATTATATTATATTATATTATATTATATTATATCCTTTCTAAACTACATTTATGAAATGAAATGAAATGGGGTTTAACGTCCTACTCTTCTGCACCTAACCTGGGCTAATTGAAGAAGGGCATACGCCATACAGTGTGCTATGAGGTAAATTTTGCCCGGACAGCGGCGTTACGGCCTACTCTTATATCGAATTCCAACTGCCAAGGGATCTTTTACGTGCACGCCAATGTGTACACGGGACCTCGGTTTTTCGTCCCATCCGAACAACTAGGAAGCTGTCCTTGTCAGGCCCCCCGTTCTGCATCACTGACAAGGGGAAATCACGCCGGAAAATCGAGATGAACTTTCTCGGCCAATGCAGGGAAAACTACATTTATGTACAACATGACACAATTATATGGAATACATGCTACTTATAACTTTATTTCTGTTGACGTTTAAACAAGGGTTCCCTTGTCTTTATCAAGCAAAGATTTAACGAAGTTGTAATTGAATCTAAACCGGTTTATATAAATTACTATTTTATATTAAAGGCTCTATTTCTTAGAATTCAATCTGATTAAAATACAGATCTATATTTCGTTTCGTTTTTTTATACTTTTGATGGCCTACACTACATGAAGATCTGACAAGTTATAGCGATAGGTCACATCAGGACCCTATGACGGCAGACATTAATTAATCAATCAGCGTTGATATTTTTAGTGGTTTACCCGCAGTTCCGCGCAGAGCACGCCAAGAAGGGCTAATCCCTCACTTCTGTCAAAACGCGGGTTATATAACAACTCTTCAGGGTCCTAGTGTTGCGAAGACAAGTAAAACAAAATTTTAAACTATAAAAAACGAAACGAAATAGGATCTGTGCTTTAATCAGATTGTTTGGAACCTCGAAACAGACAAAAATGGTTCTAAAAGCACATACTAAATATTATGGAAAATATTGAGTTACAGATTTAGCTCCTTTAATATGTGGTTTTTGACGATTTTCGTCTATTTTAAGGTTTCAAGGAATAAAGCGATAAAAGCTCCATTAAAGTTCACATCAATCTGAATATAATATGTTTATTTTTGTTATACATTGGTAAAATTATGTAAAATGTTCAAACTGAAATAGCTTTTCAACAGATTTTTTTTGTTGTTGAGGTTTTTGATGATGTATTTGATGAAAATAATTCAGTGAACGAAACTAATATTTAAAAATTTGCTACCTGGTAAACTGAGTCTGAAAATACATAAAAAACAATCAAAAAATTGTCCATTAAATCATTAAATTTAGCAATTACATCCTTAAATATGGAGTTTAACATCCTACTGGTTGGTGGTTGAATCGTTAATGTGTACAGGTTTCATCATAAGATCTGTCATTGAGTCAAGTGGCATGGTTTTGAATCCCCTGTTGTACGTGACAAAGAGTAGGGTCTCCTGTCCAACCTTGTTATTTTTCTCAAGGTCCTTTGGTTTCCTCCCACTGCTAAATAAAATTGAACCATATGTTAGTCCCGAAATGACCTAGTTTATGTCGAGTGGACATTAAACCCCATTTCTCTCTCTCCCTCCCCCCACTTTCTCTCTCTTTTCAATAATAAATGGCTGTTCCCCGATCTCCCATTCTAATGTCACCAAGAATACATATCAAAACTTTCATATCCTTGAAATTGCACATGCTAAATACACGTTATCAAAACTTCACTCCCATATCAGTAAAACTTCACTCCCATATCGGTAAAACTTCACTTCCATATATAGATGAGATAAACAGCTCTACTTTCAGAATGTATTTATAATTTATATCATGTTATGAATATGTGATTTTTAATTAACAGATTAAAATCAAGATGTATTTTTCAACGAATAAGATGTGTTTGTCTTTGATTATAAAAACTGGTATTGAAGAATGTAGGTTCTCTTGGTAACTTGATAATTCTGGTGGCTCAGTAAGTACAGCCATTACATGGTGTGGGGAGGGGAATATAATTAATTGTATTTCCATTACTCATTACTTTTGAAATCTGCCATTGCTCACTTCAAACAGTTGCGTACAGATGTTTGGTGATGCTTGGATCCATCACTTTGATTGTATATCTCCCAAGATTGTCCCCCCCCCCACACACACACACCCAAGACTAGAGTATAATGGCTTGTACATCAGTCAAGATTGTATACCCACCCCACCACCCCTCCCAAGACTAGAGTATAATGGCTTGTAGATCAGTCAAGATTGTATAACCCCCCAAAGACACCCAAGACTAGAGTATAATGGCTTGTACATCAGTCAAGATTGTATACCCCACCCCCCACCCCCCAAAGACCCAAGGATGATGCCTAGAGAAAGGTGATGGAGAGATATTTTAAGTTTGTAAAAACGGACCAGAAATTGAGAGAGATGATTTCATATGTCACTCTTTGATTGGATGCCGCCTGGAGCGGATGCCCAACGTCATCACCACCCTCTCTGCATTTGATTACATTCCATTACCGCTTCTCTAGTCATGTTTGATTACATTCCTTTACCACTGATGAAATTGTACGAAAACCTGTCGCCTCTCGCAGCATGTTAAAGGTCACCTCACTTGGAAATCGCTCTGTGCACACTGCGTGGTGTATTCCCATCTTCCTTGACCTTAGCCTGGTTAATGCAGAAAGGCACATGTTATACCCCATTTCACTAGCTAGATGGTGTAGAAACCCTAACCCTAATCACAGGTCGCTAGCCTGAAGGTCGGGTGTTCGATCCCTGCATTTTCCGGCGTGGTTCCCCCTTGTCAGTGATGCAGGACGGAGGGCCTGACAAGGACAGCTGTCTAGTCCTTCGGATGACACGAAAAACCGAGATCCCGTGTATACATTGGAATGCACGTAAAAGATCCCTTGGCAGTTGGAATTCGATATAAGAGTAGGCGATAGTGCCGCTGCCTGGGCAAAATTTCCCTCATAGCACACTGTATGGCATATGCCCGTCTTCATTAGCCCAGGTTAGGACGTTAAACCCCATTTCATTTCATTTCATTTCTAATCACCGGACCTGGCAAGGAACAATGTATAGTTCTGATGTGACCAAAAACTTGCACGTTCAAGATCCCTTTTCAGCTGGAATTCAACATAAGAGTAGGCCATAGAGCCACTGTCCGGGAATATTTTCCTTCATAGCACACTGTATGGCATCAATCTGAACTACAGACTCACTCTACCTGCAGAGAAGCGAAAAAAAAGCCAGCTACCATTTAATTTTCGTACGTTAGTTACGTACGTGTATGGCATATGTGCGTCTTCATTAGCCCAGTCGGAACAGGAGAGTTGGACTTGGACGTCAAATCCATTTCATTTCATTTCCAATCACTATCTGCAAATATTTCAGATTCCATTTGATCACCATTTTATCTTCTCCCAATGTTTACATGACATGAAGTAGGGGTTTCTACCGTTTCCTCCCACTGCTTATAACCTTTATGCCAGGACCCCCTTTCCATTTTCCATGTAAGGGTCCCAGTGACAATTTCAGCCATGGACCCCATGCAAGATTAATCACACCCTGAACAGCCTTGTATTGAGTGGACATTATACCCCTTCCTATCTCTCTCACCTTGTTTAAACAGAACATAACCAACAATTCTATATTGATTTGTATATTTTTATTTATTAAATATGACAACATAATCACAATATCAAATAACAGTTTTGTTATTGAGATCATTGCTCTTATTAAAATCACAACTTGATTATACAATCAAATAAGTTACATCATTAAATATGATCACATAATTACAGTTACATAATAGAGATTAATACCCTATTATAATCACACCCAAATAACTAATAACATTAACGTGTATATAGTCTTTATATATTGGTCACATGGCACAAAAAGGACATTGATTTTAATTATTATACCATTAATAGAATTATATATCATTAATCATTTTGTGTAACTTTAATAAATAAATGTAAATCAAATTCAACAAAACAAAATATAGATATACCATGATATATAAAATATAGATATACCATGATATATAAAATATAGATATACCATGATATATAAAATATAGATATACCATGATATATAAAATATAGATATACCATGATATATAAAATATAGATATACCATGATATATAAAATATAGATATACCATGATATATAAAATATAGATTTACCATGATATATAAAATATAGATATACCATGATATATAAAATATAGATATACCATGATATATAAAATATAGATATACCATGATATATAAATGTAAAAAATAACTGAGTAGAGTATCTGGCTCTCATTCAAAGAAAATATTTTGATATAAATCGATAATAATTGACTAAACATCCTAAATGACTAATTGACATAATAAATTCATTAACTAGTTTTAATATAAATTGTGACATCATTAAACCATGTCCTGGTTTTTCTACCACAGCTGATATTCACCCATTTGTTTGTACCAGTAATATATGTTTGTTGCAGCTATATCTATTCTTGATATCCCCAGTGGTATTGTTCAGTTTTACTCCACTAACCTCTGGGTCCATCCACAGGGTTTTTTACAAATTCAAATTATCTACCCTTGATCGTAGCTCGATTCTACGAACCAATCAAAAACCAGTTTACAGACCAGTCTTAGCAGCATTGTTTACGTTCACCACAATCTTAGTTGCAATAAAATGCAAGTTACTTCACTTCTGCCACTTGATTGGTCGATAAAAATAGCAGAAGTATCAAGGGCGGATAATTTAACTAGGTGTGTCCCCCATGAATGGACCCAGCTGTTAGTGGAGTAGAATGGAACGATACCACAGCAGATACCAAGAATGCAGTAATATATGTTTGTTATAGCTATATATTTTGGCCGATATATGTCTTGCATTCAATAACAACTTAAATCGTAGTATTCTGGCAAACCGACGAATCTGATATATTGAAGTATTGAGAATTATGTGTTTGAAATTTGCGTTCTGTTGTTATATTTATCTGTGGACCAGGAGAAAACTTGTGAGGTTGGACAGGTGACTTTACTCCTTGTCACGTACAACCGGGGAATCGAAACCACGCCAGTTGACTAAATGACAGACCTTATGATACAGCACGCACATGCTAACCATTCGGTCATTCTTTCGAAAGAATAATCAGTATTAATAATTTGAATTCAGTAATTGTTTAAAACTTCATAATATTAAAATCCAGAAATCCAAATAAATTTTTAAAAAATGATATAAAATATTTTGATATTGACTACTGAGATAAACTGCTGTTGTCTTTTATGGTTTCAGTCGGCCAACCCAGGTTTTTGGATCAGATCTGAAATAGAGAGAAAGAGAAATGGGGTATTAACGTCCACTCAATACAACTATGTCATTTCGGGACTAACATATGATTCAATTTTATTTCAATAATTCGCTTGCGTGTAGGGTTTTTTTTAGCAGTAGGAGAAAACCAGACTACCAGGAGAAAACTCACATCATTGGGCAGGTGACCCTTCTTGTCACGTACAATCAGGGAATCGAAACCACATCACTTGACTCAATGATGGACCTTCTGATACAACGCGTACTATGGTCACCAGCTTCAGGGATATATTAGGCTATAGAGCACAGTAACCAGTTCCCACAGAAAGTGTAAGTATAGTGAGACGATGACCTGGTGCACCATATAACAACAATTCGCTACTGCACAATATACCGGTAGTCACAACCCACGGCAATTCTAGTCCATGCTAATAATAGAATGGGACCCTGGGCCCTGTTTCTTATAATCTTAACTAAAGATAAAATACAAATTTTAGTAGATACTTCAATTTTGATTGGCTAAGCACTAAAATCAATCTAATATTATCCAATCAAATTACTAAAATTTGGATTTTATCTTACTTAAAATTTCATGAAACCGACCCCTGGTCCCATGGAGTGGGTGAGGAATATTAACGGTATCTAAAATGACAAAACCATCTTTCAATGAAGGATCCCAGGCCCCTATTCACAAAAAACTTAAATTAAAGTATTTTAGGAATTCAGCTCTTTGTATTAGGATTTTAACTCCCAATAATCTGGTCATCTGTTTACTTACATGATTTCTGACTTTTGGATTACTTCCCCTTGTAACATGAGATTGGCAGCTTGCGATACGATTGGATCAAAAGCTAAACTAGCTACAGCAACCACATTGTCTCCCCTGCAAAAAATATAAATCATACTATGAACCACGAATCGACCATTAAGGACAATAACATCATCGAAGCCATCTTGGAATTATGACATATCAAAAATCAATGCGTAATTGTCCAAAAAACAAGTATTCGAAAATTCATGTCAATCATGCTTGAGCTGGCAGAGAATTATGATATTTTGGAAGAACTGGTGCCAACCATGTAAAATCACCAGTTTCTGGTTTCAAAATCCTGACTAAGGGTTTTAGAGAGAGAGAGAGGGGAGAGAGATGGGGTTTAACTATACTCGACACAAACTAGGTCATTTTGGGACTAACACATGGTTCAATTTTATTTCAACAATTTGCTTGTGCATAGAGGTCTTTAGCAGCAAGAGTAAACCAGAGGACCCGGAGAAAACCCACAAGGTTGGACAGGCGACCCTACTCCTTGTCACGTACAACCAGGGATTCGAAACCACGCCAGACGACTCAATGACAGACTTTATGATACAGCGCGCACGTGCTAACCATTCAACCCCTCAGGGATATTGAGCTGTGGTAGGAAATCGGAGGACCCAGAGAAAAACCCATGAGGATGGAATAATTCTTCTGTTTAAATTATATATAGGAGTATATTTTTATACATACTTGGTATAAAATGCAGCAAATTTAGGAACATCTAAATCACCATGAACAATCACATCATCATAACCTGGTCCATACCCTACAACATAGTTAATTGGCCTCATTAATCTGATTACAATACAGATCTATATTTCGTTTTGTTTTTTTATACTTTCGATGGCCTACACCACATGAAGATCTGACGAGTTGTACTTGAAGGTTGTGTCAGTGGTTGTACGAGCGGCTTTTGACCCTATGAACATCAGACATTAATTACTCAATCAGTGTTTGACATTTCTAGTGGTTTGCCGTAACAGACCGTTTCATTGGCTAATCCCTCACTTCAACCAAAACGTCGGTAATATAACAACTCTTCCAGATCCTAGTGTAATAAAGACAAGTAAAACAATATATTGAACTATAAAAAACAAAACGAAATAAGATCTGTGTTTTAATAGAACTAACCTGTATATCTAACGCTTTTACCATACATCACCGTCCAAAAATACGGCACACTTTTAATTTCACGGCTAATACCATTCATGTTATAACCAGCTATTTTACCTAAAAAAAAACAACAAATATTCATAAAAATTAAATTTGAAGTCGTCAAATCTTACGGTGACTTTACTATTGGTATATTCGTAAAGCTATTCAGACATTGATTCACACAAAGTTCGTTTGATATTGTGATGTTAAAACATTTTGGGGGTGGGGGGGAATGGGGATAGCCTGAATGGTTAGCATGTGCTCGTTGTATCATAAGGTATGTCATTGAATCAACTGGCGTGGTTTCGATCTCTGGTCCCTTTGTCCACCCTCGTAGGTTTCCTCCGGGTCCTCCGGTTTCCCCCCACGGCTAAAGACCCCTACATTCATGCCAATTGTTGAAATAAAATTGGACCATTTGATCTTTTTCTAAACAATTTTGTCAACAATTAAGTTTATTACCTGACCAAAACACAAAAGTAAATATTTCATTGGAGACAAAAAATAGATTTACCATGCTGGTGAGCCATCTGCCAATGTTGAATATTGACCTTTGAACCCGGAACTGTAAAAAGAGGGAATTCTACGATATCCCCTCCAGCATAAACATCTGGTATATTGGTCTGTAACCTCTAAAATATAAAATAATCATAATTGAGAGAAAGAGAGAGAGAGAAATGGGGTTTAACATCCACTCAACACAAACCAGGTCATTTCGGGAATAACATATGGTTCAATTTTGTTTCAATAATTCACCTGCGCGTATGGATTTTTAGCAATGGGAGGAAACCGAAGGTTGGACAGGCAACCCTACTCCCTGTCACATACAACCGGGGAATCGAAATCACGCCAGTTGACAATGACAGACCTTATGATACAATGTGCTAGCCATTCGGCCATACAACCCCTCCAATTTGCTTTTGCATATAAGGGTCTGGAGGACCTTGAGAAAACCCACCAGACTGGACAGGCGACCCTATTCTTTGTCCCATACAAGCGCACAAGTTAAACCAATCAGCCCCTCCCCGCATTTTGAAAGTTCATTTCAATAAATTACTGTCTTCATTTATTTAATGAATGAATCAAAAACTTTGTGAAAACTTGCAGTAAAAACATAAGTGCCCAAACATGGATCCACTTGTATGAAAAATAAGAGAAAAATTATATTCAAACTGTTCATATTCAAACTATCTAAACTCAAATTGTTAATATTCAAACTATCCATGTTCAAACTATCCATATTCAACCTGACCATATTCAAACTATCCATATGCAAACTATTCATATTCAAACTGTTCATATTCAAACTATCTAAACTCAAATTGTTAATATTCAAACTATCCATGTTCAAACTATTCATATTCAAACTATCCATATTCAACCTGACCATATTCAAACTATCCATATGCAAACTATTCATATTCAAACTATCCATATTCAACCTATCCAACCAAACATGGATCTACTAGTATGAAAAATAAGAGAAAAATTATCTATATTCAAACTGTCCATATTCAAACTATCTAAACTCAAATTGTTAATATTCAAACTATCCATGTTCAAACTATTCATATTCAAACTATCCATATTCAACCTGTCCATATTCAAACTATCCATATGCAAACTATTCATATTCAAACTATCCATATTTAAACTGTCCATATTCAAACAAACTATCCATATTCAAACTATCTAAACTCAATCTATCTATTAAAACCCAGTTCATAAAACTTACCTCATTGACAGAAACAAATCCTCTCTTCGTTAATTCTATACCAGACTTTTTCAAAAAATCAGTTGCTGGTACCACTCCTGATCAAGTAGAAAATTTATTTAGAAATAAATTTTTAAGGACAATGAAATGTTTTATATCATCTGTATCAAACAGAATATAGTATAGTTTCTACTTTTTTAACATCCCAAAACTTTTTTTTCTATCATTTTTACAATTTGTCAATCAATTTTTAGTTTGTGTATATTACATAATACAATATAGAGTATTCTTTCAATTACAACCTTGACTGAGGTATTTAGCATCGGGAGGATCCCCTCCCCCCCACAAAAAAACAGAACTATTTGTTATTTGGTTAGGCAGATCACTAGACAAGATACAGGTTCAGTAGAATATCAGAAATACGTTGAACTCACCAACGCCCAGAATACAGATATCAGCAGATAGAACCGTTCCATCTGAGAGAATAACCTCTGTTAAAATGTCATCTTCTTTACCACGTAATGCTTTTACACCTTTCTCAAAATAAAACTTTACACCTTTTTCTTCGTGCATCTATTGAAACAAGAATACAGTTATTAATTTACGATTAAAACTAGGCCCACGGATGAATTGATTTTTCACGGCTCTAAAAGTGGAAATGTTAGGTTTTAAAATCTTATAAAATATATACAAAAATATGTTGTGACATAGTGAAAAAATTACAAAACTATGGTTAATTATGGCAACTTGAAAAGAAATACAACAAGAAAGTTTTAAATAAATTATCGCTTGAAATTGAATAGCTATCGGTTCATGCTAATAAAAGTTAATGCAATATAACGTTAAAAAATACCAAATCAGGACAAAAACATACAAAGGTTTAAGTGTAAGATCTGTTTTCCATGTACGCAATTCCGCACCCGTTTTCCCCAGTTACATTGAAATGGTCCAATTACATATGCATTAGACCGACTTTTTCATGTTCATGGAAAACAGGCCTAATACATCATAGCTCATGATTAAGAATGTATGTGTGGGTGGAGATATATAGATATTGCCTTAAAATACACAATAGGGATTAGGGAAATTTATCAAGAGCCTTTGGATTTTCTTTCACATGCTGTGTTTTTCTTTGAGTAGCAGAGTATCTATTTATTTATAAATGTAATTTAATATCACAAAATGAATAATGTATAAATATTGGCACTCTGAGATCTTGTTAAAGATAACTAGCAAATTTTTCTACCTTTTGAAAAACTCTGCCTAATTTTTCACCAAAAACCCGTTGTAACGGCGCTGAACCTGTACCTATGACTGTCACCGATTTACATTTATCGTGGAGGAATGCTGTAACTTCCAGACCTAGGTTTAGCCACGGATAAAACAAACACATTAAAAGCCATATAATCAGCTGCAACTAACACTGTAACCCAGGTATCGTTTAATCTTGTGTATCTAGCATTAATTTCTTTCACATTCGTTTAATATCAAATCTTTGTTTAAAAATTTGTAAAAACTGTTTAAAATCACCATAAATCGTTTAATTTGTACTTCTGTCCAGTTTAAAGCTGACCATTCAATTTTGATAATGAGTGTCCAATTTACAAGTGTTTAATTTCTCAATCATTGTTAAAAAAATAAACAACCCAATTGAATAATGATGTATAATGATTAATTTTTGAACAGTGATCAGGAAATTACTTGTAAATTGGACACTCATTATCAAAATTAATCAGTCAGCTTTAAACTGGACACAAGTACAAATTAGATGATTTTTGGTGATTTTAAACGATTTTTATGTATTTTTAAACAAAGATTTGATATTAAACGAATGTGAAAGAATTTAGTGCTAGATACACAAGATTAAATGATACCTGGGTTACAGTGATAGATATAGATAGATATACATGTTAGAAGCTATATCAGGGTGTGCACAACTCAGAACAATTTAAATTCCAGGAATTCCTGTATAGACAATCTGATTCAAATACAGCTCTATATTTCGTTTCTTTTTTTTTATACTTTCGATGGCCAACACTACATGAAGATCTGACAAGTTATAGCGATAGGTCACGTCAGGGGTCAAAAGACCGACTTATGACCCTATGACATCAGACATTTGATTAACCAATCAGCATTGATGTTACTAGTGGATTACCCACAGTTCCGTGAAAAACACACCTAAAGCTCGCCGTAACAGACCGTTTTATTGGCTTATCCCTGACACCATTCAGAACACGAGTTAAATAACAACTCTTCCAGATCCAAGTGTAGTAAAGACAAGTAAAACAAAATTTTGAACTATTAAAAAGAAACGAAATAGGATCTGTGTTTTAACCAGATTGCTGTATAGAATTCTACATCATAATGTATTTTTTTACGCTTGGAGAACATTTACGTCCATGAATTTGTGAACTTTTGAAGAAACATTTGATGACTATGTTCAGTTTTATATCTTAAACTACATAGCGAAACGACAAATGTTAATTTTCCAGGGGTTTCCAGGAGTAATCTTGTATTTCCAGGATTTTCCAGTACTGGAAATCACATTTTCATTTTTCCAGGATTTTCAAGGAGTTTCAATGAGTGTGCGAACCTTGTATATATAGAGAACGTGGAGTGGAAGAAAGCAGGGAGGTTATCAGTTTAACAGAGATATAATTGTTTTAGAATTAAATATGCAAAAGATTCAGAGCTAATTAACTGGCATCCCCAGAGATATCAAAATATACTGTGTTAAATATGTATTGTTTAATGGTTGAGAGCGAGATATTAAGTAATATATTGTAACAACAAGAGGGCCGTGAGGCCCGAATGTTTTTACAATATATTATGCAATGTCTTAAGCTTGAGACCATTAAACAACTTAAAATACAGACACTTGCACGTGCTTTGCAATGAAATACGTCACTCGAGTTCAATATTTTACCAAGTTACGCATGGCACATTGCCCATACGATTATTTGAAATAATGGTCTTCCAACATCAAAGGATGACGTCACATCTGTATTTTAAGTTTATTTAGCAGCCACCCCCATCAAGGTGATATTACTGACAATTGAAAATTTACATCACAAAGGACATTTTATTTGTAAATGAAATGAAATGAAATGGGGTTTAACGTCCTACTGTTCTGCTCCGACTGGGCTAATGAATGCGGGCATACACCATACAGTGTTCTGTGAGGGAAGTTTTGCCCAGGCAGCGGCACTATGGCCTACTCTTATATAGAATTCCAACAGTCAAGGGATCTTTTTCGTGCATGCCAATGTGTACATGGGACCTTGGTTTTTCGTCCCATCCAAACAGCTGTCCTTGTCAGGCCCTACGTCCTGCACCCATTATAGGGGGTTGGATGGCCGAATGGTTGGCACGTGCGCTGTATTATAAGGTCTGTCATTGAGTCAACTGGCGTGGTTTGGAATCCCCGGTTCTACGTGACAAGGAGTAAGGTCGCCTGTCCAACCCCATGGGTTGTCTCATGGTCCTCCGGTTTCCTCCCACTGCTAAAGACCCTGATGCGCAAGCAAACTATTGAAATAAAATTGAACAATGTGTTGGACCCAAAATGACCTAGTTTGTGTCAAGTGGATGTTAAACCCACCAGGTTGAGAAGGTGCCCCCAAATCCATGGCCGCATATGCACACACCAGGAATCAAAACCAAGACCGCAAGCCCGAGCTAGAGCTCGAATTGCGACACTTTAGACAAGTAGTTCATACAAATCCCATAATTCATTTCAATTTTACATAAACAAGTTTTAACATGTAGCTTAAAAAAAGTACTTTCTGCATAGAACTTAAAGAAACTAAACGACGCTTTAATTAAAATAGTAATTGTGTTTCATATTATGTTTTTGTGTTTATCAAATTAAATGTTAATTAATGCTAATTGTTAACAAAGCAGTGCATAAATTTTAAAAAAAGTGAAGCAACTAAGCAGTACTAAGCATACAGTGGAGAGACGTTATTTGTTAATGCCACTGTCAGATCTGGGTGGCGTCCTTACTGCGCTGCTGCGACCGTACGGTGACAAGAAAATGCACAAGGTCCCCGGCAAACGTGAACACAACACAAGGAAATGTCCCCAAAAAATTACAAACTTGAAAAAAGTCGCATTCTCATAGCTTTCCAGTTTAGATCGCGGAACCTTGGCGTTTGTTTTGAACATTCACAAAACAAACGCTGTGACTCGGCGATCATTGGCGACCATGGAGACCACAGCACGATAGCTGGTGTTCCTACCACGCTTATGGTGATCTCGTTGTGCTCTAAAACCAGTTTCCATCGCCGTAGCAGCGCAAGAAGGACGCCACGCTGGTCTGACTGGTTTATAAAGAACATGACAGAACATTTTTACACAGTAGATTTATTGCATCTGTTGTTAGAGTCTGCTGCATAAGCAATACACACCAATATCAGCTATTATACGCACGCAGCAAGCCAAGCGAAGTCATCAAAATAACATTATTCTGACCGTTTTGAAGGCTCGACCAACAGTTTCACCAAGAGTCAGTTCAAATGGAACTTTAATCATATCAACTACTGATAAACTGTGAATTTTCCCAGCTAAAAACGCGGCTACTTCCATACCTAACGTAGTATATAATACATGTTTATAAATCGTTCAGTTCATGTCTGTCTCGATACCTAGCATAATACATCTTCAATAGAAGACTTGATCTCGCTTTAACTACGTAAATCTTATCATGGCCTTCACATAATGCCCTGCATATTTCGGCACTAATTTCGATTGGGTACAAGCCCAACTTGTGAGCCTATCAGATTCCTCGATTGTCGCGAATACCAAGTCTCTCGCTTTCAAGCTAAAATGTCTACCTGTGATAATGGAGTTGCAAAGTTCAAGGTTCATTCAATGTCAAGGTTTCCGTGGAGGTTGCGATGTTACAACCTCTGATTGGACGCTACTGCTCATGTGTCTGTAGATAACAGCTATAAGTTCGGGAATTTTGAAGTAATCTAGCAATGGCCAGATGTTGTGAAACTCGCAGTCGTTGCTTCAGAAACATGAACATAATAATTATAGTATACATTGTTCAGTTCTCCACTTCGATTGTGGTACCGCATAAAAAAGCTATTCTTTGGCTGGATCATTTCACTCTTATAGACCATAGAATTAGAAGTAATCACGGTCAACTTAACAAAAATAAAAGCTCTAATTAAAAAAAACCACAAGCTTTTTGTGAAACTACAAAACAGGAAGTATGGAAGCACAACTTCCTATTCTTTATAAAATGAAAAGAAACTAATGAAAAATACATGAATTTAGAAGCTGCTTTAAAGATGCATTCTAATTATGTAAGAGCTAAATCTGTCTTTTTTTTTCTGCTTCAAATGTTATTTAAATTATTTATTAGGCATTTATTACCACGAAAAGATAATCAACTCTCTAGATCATTGGATGGCCGAGATATTGAATGGAATATAACATCATCACCATTCAATAATGTCATGTTAAAATGGATAGTCAAGACTGATAACTTCGCTCAGATTAAAGTAATTTGAATGAAATTTTCAATATATTCAGTTTTCATTATCTATTATATAATTTAAATGAAATTTTCAATATATTCCTTTTTCATTATCTATTTTTGAATTATTTTAGTAAGAACGACCAGCTCGTTTATCTAAATGTTACATAATGCATCTTTAACTTCAGACTATTTTGATTTAGTGTGTATTATTTGCAAGTTGCAATTTAAGCCAAAATAGAAGCTAAAGAGTACAACAAAGAAATAATAAAGCATCTGATCAGAACTTAAAGAATTTGTTACGAAAACTGTTACTAGTTGTTAGTGTTGCTAGGCAATAATCCTGTTGCTAGGCAATACTCCTGTTGCTAGGCAATAATCCTGTTGCTAGGCAATAATCCTGTTGCTAGGCAATAATCCTGTTGCTAGGCAATAATCCGGCCACTAGTTTTTTTGAAGGCTACATGGCTTTAAAGATTTTAGGTTCAAGGACAATAACTGCACATAAAATTGATAGGATTCGTCCTTGTGATAAGTCAAACATTAAACCAAGGTTTGACAAAATATATCAAACAGGCTAAACTGTAGAGATGGGGAGTCATGGTGGCAAAATGGATGGAGGTGCTCGCGCACTAACCAGGTGCTCCTGAGTTTGATACCATGGGATTTTGCAGCATATGGTTTCACCTTGTCAGAGGTGCAAGAGAGATGGACTGTATAGTCCTTTGGATAGGATGTAAAACTGAGTTTCAATGAACACTGACTGTTAGCATACGATGACGAACAGGTAGAAATGCTGCTATCTGAGCAAAATTGCTGTCATACCACATTAGACGGTGTTAAACCAGTCTACAGTAGCCAAGTTGGTGCAGAAAAGTAGGATGTTAACCCAATTTAAATTTATTTCACAGCATTTACATGTTTTCGATGTAAGGGCAAAAGAGAGAGAGAAATGGGGTTTAACGTCCCCTCGACACAACCTAGGTCATTTCGGGACTAACATGGTTTAATTTTATTTCAATAATTCGCTTACACGTAGCGGTGTTTAGCAGTGGGAGAAAACCCACGAGGTTGGAAAGGCGACTCTATTCCTTGTCACGTACAACCAGGGATTTGAAACCATGCCATTTGACTCAATGACAGGCCTTATGATACAGCATGCACGTGCTAACCATTCAACCACCCAACCCCCCTGTAAGGGGCAATCAATCTGAATAGAATTTCTCTTTAGGACTTGGCAAACAATTCCAGAAACTATGGAAGACAATACCAATCTGAAAAACTTTGACTTAAGGTCAAAATATGTTAAACAGGAGTAAGACAGGTTTTAACACCGTGTAAGTAATAACGATAATCGAGTGAAACTTATTAATGGTGACGGTGATATATCTTACCTATAAAAGACGAACCAACTACCACTACATCTTTGCCTTTTGCTTGTTCAGCTATAAAATTAGCATCAGCCGGGGTTCGTAAACTACAAACATTCTTCAGACCAGATCCAGGAATAGGTAAAACTCTCGGTCTAAAAAAAAAAAAATAGAAAGAGACATGGGGTTTAATGTCCACTCAATATAAACAAGGTCATTTCGGGACTAACATATAATGCACAGGAGGACCCAGAGAAAACCCCCAAGGTTGAACAGGCAACCCTACTCTTTGCCATGTACATGCGGGGAATCGAAACCATGCCACTTGCCTTAATGACAAACTGTATAATTTAAAGTGCATGTGTTTAACCATTCGGACACCCAATGCCCAAAATAAAACAAGATCTTTGTATTAATCCAATTATTTTCCTCCTGTGGCTATAAATAACGATATATTCTATTACTTACTTTCCTCCCGTGGCTATAAATAAAGAATCGTAGGATATTTTCTTCCCATCGTACATTCTAACTAACTTAGCTTTAGTATCCACGGAAACAACCTTCAACAAGAATTAATTACATGTAGCATAAAATTTCAAACAGTAACATACCTAACTGGATGAACCTATTTCAATTTCAAACAGTAACGTACCTAACTGGATAAACCTATTTTAATTTCAAACAGTAACGTACCTAACTGGAGGAACCTATTTCAATTTCAAACAGTAACGTACCTAACTGGATAAACCTATTTTAATTTCAAACAGTAACGTACCTAACTGGAGGAACCTATTTCAATAGTCCTTTGCTTTATCTGAAAGCTGTGAGACAATGATTGTGTTTATAAAAGGTACTGGTACATAAAAAGCACTCTAAGAAAAATCTAGCTCTCGCAAAGACTCATGTCCCATTTCAGAGGACATTTCAACTTATTGCAGAATTTTGGTTATATTATTTTTCTGACTACAACTTGCATGGTAGGCTTATAATGTAAATTTATTCATAATGACCTCATGACCCTGTCATATTTATAATGTAAATTTATTCATACTGACCTCATGACCCTGTCGTATTTCAATATCATATTTCTTATAAAATTCAGCATTTCGTAAAGCTAATGACTCTGGTTTAGCATCCATTGCCTGAAGAAATAAATAATAAAAAATATTAAACTGATTCAAATAGAACATCATACTCTGAACGGGTCTGAAATATTATTCTTTAATAAAGAACACCAAAGCAGCTTTAATGGTAGCGTACATGATAATTTCTGCCTTTAAAGTCAGTTCTGTGTGTGTGTGTGTGAGAGCTGTCCTAATATTGGAAGTCTTTCTTGAAAATGTCTGTCTTCAGCGAATAGTGTTGTACTGTTTTAGCTGATACAAACTTTACTTAATTTAGGTTTATCATCTGATACAAACTTTGTGTAATTAGGTCTATCATCTGGTACAAACTTGTTTAATATAGGGTTATCATCTGGTTCAAACTTTGCTTAGTGTAAGTATATCATATGATACAAACCTTGCTTAGTTTAGGTCTATCATCTGGTAAAAAGATTTATTAATTAGGTCTATGTTAGATACAAACCTGGCTTAATTTGTGTCTGTCGTACAGTAAAATTGATACAAACCTTGCTTAGTTTGGGTCTATCATAGGGTAAAACTGATTCTTTTGACACAATAATGACACGTCCCGTAAACCCTTCTTGTCGTAACGTTTCTGCACAAACAACTGACGCTGGTCCTGCAAACAAAAATATGACATAAATTAGTATATCTGTTATATGAAATCACAATGTAAAGCTGTCATTAATGTGGAATGTCAGAATGACGCTTAATGATATTAAAGAAACATTTAAAGATACATCCTAACCAGTTAATGCAACCAGAGAAAATACTAGACGATCAAAGGCTGTTCCAAAATATGTACAAAGAAAAGAGTAGATGGGTCATACACCACTTTCCATGCTGGACAAACGACCCATGGTGCTACACCGTTGGAATTAAAAACATGAAATAAAACAAACCTCCGCCAACAAGCACAAAAGTTTTTCTGTTTTCTGGGACACTTCCACACATATTCTTGAGTCTTTTACCCACACCAGATGTTGGAACATGAATATAGATTTTACCGTTCTTAACATTCACCTAACGAATAAAACTATATATTTGAAACATATATCAACATGTTCTGTAACACCTCCATGTAATAGTACACTTCCCTAATGCATTGCTTAGAGCAGTGATTCTCAACTTGGGGAGAGAAAGAGAGAAATGGGGTTTAACGTCCACTTGACACAAACTAGGTAATTTCTGGACTAACATATGGTTCAATTTTATTTCAATAGTTTGTTTGCGTGTAGGGGTCTTTAGCAGTAGGAGGAAACCGGAGGACCCAGAGGAAACCCAAAAGGTTGGACAGGCGACCCTACTTCTTGTCAAGTACAACCGAGGAATCAAAACCACGCCAGTTGATTCTCACTAAGGAAGCCTGCTATTTGACTGATGAAATTTGAAACACTGCGATAAAGTAAGTTCATAGCTGTGTATTTCTTCATTTAGTATGATTCATTCTATGTGACTATGACTAGTCTGTGTCTATGGTTTTATTCCGTCTATGAATTGCCATGTTTTTACTTTGCAAAATTCAAATATTTTTTTCTTATTCATTTAGCCAGGCAAGCCGTTATTTTTTCATGTGTTCCAAAGTGTGGCTCAGAGGGATGTTGTCCCACAATAGATAATTTGGAATGATCATCTGAGAATCTGAATAATATTTTGAATGGCCTTAGGTTACAAACATACTTACATCAAATGTTGGTAAACTGTCGAGTCCTGGAAAATCTTCGATATCACCAGTTTGTACGTTAAAACATGCTCCATGCCAGGGACAACGTACAACACCATTACTCATTGATCCTATAATATAAACATACAACACTGTTACTCATTGATCCTATAATATAAACATATAACACTGTTACTCATTGATCCTATAATATACAACACTGTTCAGTGGCAGCGCCGGTGGGTGGAGAGGCAAAGCTGGGGCAAAATCTAAGGTTAAGGGGGCAAAGGCACAAGCTTCAACTACGGGTAGGGGGGCCTCCCCCAGAAATTTTAGAAAAACAGGCTGAAGGAAATGCAGCCTGGCAGTATTTCAGAACACTGATCGTTGAGATAAAGTGTCAAACGACCGAACCTTACGGACGGTATGGGGGACCTCCCCCAGAAAATTAGACTGTCGGAAATGCTGTCTGACAGTATTTAGGCATTTATGAATTTCAAAATCCTCATAATGTAACACTTATTTGAGGAAAAAAGTTACTAATATATTTGGCTGACGTAGCCATATTCTCTCAATTTCACCACATTTCAAAGAGTAATCTCTCAATTTAAATATCTAATTGACCTATGAAAAGTATTCTCTCAACTTTATAAACCATTTAAGTGCCGTGTTTTCGATTCCCCACTTGTAAATGACAAGGAGTATGATCATCTGTCCAAGCTTGTAGGTTTTCCCTAAGTCCTCTCGTTTCTCTTTATCCGTTATAATCTATTTTTATCAAGGGGAGATAATTCTACTCACCATTAATTAATGGAGCACCATAATGTGTACATTTACCACCGACAGCGAAATATTCCTGTCCTCTCTGTACCAGTAATATCTTACCATCTTCTAATTCTACATCTTTCATTCTACAAAAATATTAATTATAATTAATTTCGTTGCATCATGGACTAGGCCTACATCCTCTCGAACACATCTTCGCTAGCTAAGGGTTATGATTCACTTCTCTTCACCCTTGACAGATCTCGATTACATTTTTGAGTTCGCACGCAATGTTACCTGGTGATATATCGAAGTTGCACTCCTTACACTGCCGTCAACGCTAGCTAATGAGAATCCTTTTGTTATACGTAAGTTGGAGAGTTGTGAACTTCGATAGTTTGTTCAGTTTTGTTAAACAAAAACCACAAACGTGTCAACTATATATTTGGGGAATATAACTCAACACTTCACATAGTTGCTGCCTGACTCCAAAAGTATCTTCGAATATGGTTCTTCTGTGTCGTTAAGGCAATCTTTCATAGCAGAAGCGATAAGACTCTGTGTCCGCTGCCATGTGCTCTGCGTAAAACGTTTTCTGATTGGATACAGCTACTGATAGCTGCAACCAATGAAATCTTGAACTGCAAATCCTCAAAATGTATTCGAGATCTGACAAGGCTATCAAAGATGCTTGAACAAGACTAAACCATGGATGCTGTTTCGGATGTATAAGCTGGACATGTCCTACGCAAGTTGGCAAACGTCCGATCAGAATATAATTACTTCTGTGGCATCATGGACTAGGCCTACATCTGGTGGCTGAACTAAGGAATCAAAACAAAATGAAATAGCGTTTAACGTCCTAATGTTCTGCTCTGACTGGGCTAATGAAGACGGGCATACGCCATACAGTGTGCTATGGAGGAAATTGTGCCAGGACCACATTGCTACGGCCTACTCTTATATCAAATTCCAACTGCCAAGGGATCTTTTACATGCATGCGAACGACTAGACACTGTTTCTTGTCAGATCCCCTGTCTTGCACCACTAACAAGGGGGAACTCTACTAGAATATTATGAGGAACATTCTTGGCCATCACCAGGGTTTGAAGCCAGGAGCCCCTAGTTACCGAGCTAATGCCTTACTGAGCCGCTGTGGCTCCCCCCACCCCATTTTTAGAGAGGACGTATAATGATGTATAGAAAGACTAGAATATCTACCCTCCATCTTGGATATCATCCACACTACATGCCTCTATTTCTGTCATGGTTACTGGTTGATTCTGACTTAAATCCTCTCTATTATCAAGTCTGTTAGAATTCAATGGTACATTACCTGTAAATATAGAAACAGTAGTAAATTTCAATTGGTTGTTATTTTCTTATCTTATGTTTACATGTACATACATAGGCCTACATTTGTCTACATATCTAGGCCCACTTTCTACTGTGTGTAGAACAGCTATTCATGTACGATATGTGTTTCAGTCAGTATGCATTTACAACGGCTTTCCATGTACGCGCTTCAGCCAGTGGGTTCAGAAAAGCTTTCCATGAACGCCTTTCCACACACATTTTTTTTTTTGGGGGGGGGGGTGATGAAAATCGGTGAAAAGTAGGGGGAATCCCACGTTAAGGATGTCCAAACTGAGAAATTATCTTCACAGTGATGAAGACCGACACTAGGTCAATTTTACTTTAACAATTCGCTTGCACATAGGGGTCTTTAACAGTGGGAGGAAACTGGAGGACCCAGAGAAAACCCACGAGGTTGGACAGGTGACCCTACTCCTTGTCACATACAAGCAGGGAATCACAACCACGCCACTTGACTCAATGACAGACCATATGATACAACATGCGCATGCTAACCAGAGAGAAGGAGCGAGAGAGACACACGCACTAACCAATCAGTATGCTATAAATAGTTGGTTATATATTTTACATTTAGAACAAAAATTATAGCCCAACATTACTGGCACTGAGTGAATCATATTCAAATCGTTTCAATGGCATTAAGTAATTAAACTTGGAGCCACAGTAGCTAAGTGAGTAAGAGGCTGGCTCGCTAGCCTGGAGGTCGTGGGTTCGCTCCTGGTACTGCCCAAAAATGTTCATCAGGATTTTCCGCCGTGATGGGCAGAGGGCCTGACAAGGACAGCTGTCTATAGTCCTTCTGATGGTATGCAAAACCTGAGATCCCGGGTACACATTAGCGTGCACATAAAAGATTCCTTGGCAGTGGAATTTGATATAAGAGTATGTCGTAGTGCACTGTCCGGGCAGAATTTTCCTCATAGCACACTGCATGGTGTATGCTCGTATTCATTAGCCCAGTTTGAGTAGTCATTTCATTTCATTTCAGTAATTGAACTGGAATATACAGGTAACAATTCTATGGAGTACAAATACTGTTTGTTACTGAGTAACGTTTAACTATAAGCAGCTCTATAGTCATTATCAATACAATGGAAATCTAGCCAACATATGTTATTGATGGTAAATTCACCTTTTATACATTATATAATTATAAGCTTAAACTTAATAGTTATATTAATTGTAGCTCTAAATATTTCGCTTAAAGGCTCTATACCACTCTTGTTGTAACTGAATAATATGTCCCAATCTTTATTCTAGTCAACAAATTGTACTATTTTACAATATTCCAATTAATTGATGATACCAATTTCATGAGTAACAGTGTTGTATATTATGAAAAAGAAATGGGGTTTAACGTCCACTCGACACAAACTAGGTCATTTCGGGACTAGCATATGGTTCAATTTTATTTCCATAATTCGTATGCGCGTAGGGGTTTTTAGCAGTGGGAGGAAACCGGAGAACCCGGAGAAAACCCACGAGGTTGGACAGGCGACCCTACTCCTTGTCACGTACAACCGGGGATTCGAAACCACGCCAGTTGACTCAATGACAGACTTAATGACACAGTGCGCACGTGCTAACCACTAAGCCATCCAACCCCCCCACTGTGT